ATACTCTCGATCCTCGGTGCCGAAACACTCAGATTTCAAATAGTAAGAGCGCACAACAGCTAAAAAATGCTATCAAGTCTGGGAGAGGCCTCGCCTTTCAATAACTGACTACAATGGCTAATACAGCTGAACAAAATTATAAATGTAGATACATATGTATGTACATACATATATGGGCAAATCTAAAAAACCATCTACTTCATACATCTACATTCATTCATCTACATACTTCTAGAACAATTTTTTTAAGCATTTTAAAGGTATATATAACATTATAACAACTAGTAGTTAGAAAAAGATTTAGATCGTTTCGATGTATTTTCCAAATGTGCCTTCTATTAAGATATTTTTGTAATAAAAAGTACGCTCAAGGTCGCAGAATATATCATTTTTAAAAGTTGTTCGTAATTGTTTGCAGCATACAATACATACTTAAAAAGTTTTTAAAAGGAAATGCTTCAAAAACTATACGCGATAAACGGAAAAATTTTAAAATTGTGAAAAGTAGAGCTACACAGTTTTCGTTACTTGCCATTTAGTTATTTTTTAAAGCACACTTTAGTTACCAACTACATATGAAGTGTACACATAAGTACTACTTGTACATAGAATTTCAAACCAGCATCTGGTGTACTTCGAAAGTTATGGCATAATTAATTTTTCACCTCTTAAAAATTACATACAAAATTCACTTGTTTTTAATATTTATTTGAATTAAAACATCTATAACTCAAAAGTTATGCAACAAATTGATTTTTGAGGCTTCAAGTATACGTCTATGAATTATATCCAAAAGCAACCAGCTTGATATAGTTTACAACAATGCAAAAAAGCTAAATAGCACAAAAGTTACCTGTTTTTTAGATTTGCCCATATAAGCAAATCTTGCGAGTTGTGTTTTAAGTGCCCACCTTCTCTCGGCAGAAAAAAAACGCTACCTTGCATTTATTTCGCGACAGTTTTTATTTTTTAACATTAACCTTTGTGCCAATACGAATTTTCCAAACGTCTTTCCAACACAAAATATAACCGGGTATCTACACGTATGTAGGTTTTTACGTTTATTAAGGACTGAAATGTAAATTTTGAGGTTTTCATTGCTACTAGTTTATTTTTATTCAACGTTTTATACACATACATATGTATGTACATACGAATATTATCACTGGGATGCCCCCTCGGAGTCGTTCAAACAGAAATTGGTTTGCATTCTCTTTTATTACCAGGAAAAAGTTGTCGAATATACAGACTTTCAAAATAGCCAGCGAGCTCTGGCCTGACTATAACAGGACGAAGACACTAGACCAGTTTAACAAATAGATCGACGGCAGAAGTATTTTGAATTGTAGCAACCATCCCAGACCACTGTCCCATTGGCAAACGTGCAGAGAGAAGGTACTCCCATATAATAAAGCTTACCGCAGCTTTCAGCTGGAAAGAATAAAGTGTCCAGCATTTCCTTTGTGAGTGCCCAGTTCTAAGGCTATTATACAAGCATGGACCGAAAAAAACAGTTATTCTCCTTTTAGTCAAGAATCCTGGGTTCTTTTTATTCTTCGAACCTTTTAGGTAATATATATTTTTTTATAATTCAATAGAATTAAGTACAGCCCGGTGAGTTTAGTATTTAGACCTCTAACATTCTGGTAATAAATATTGAAGAAAAAATTACTATTAATTAAAGTTTTTGACGTAGAATACATCTTACGTTTCGATATGGAGGCTATGCTGAAATGTTGTAGTTGTAATTTTTAGAGCATCACAAAAACCCTTATTGCACGAGAACTAAGGAAGCGAGTTCAAAGAAGTGTGGCGTTTCAAAGATAAAATTCCAAACCTATCGACAGATTCATTTTTGTAAGTAACGAATTCGGTGTCTGTCTTAGAAACAACGGTAAACATTGGCTTATTTTGGGGTAGATTTTGAGCCTTTAAAGTTCTCCAGCAGCTTATGATTTGCAGATATAACATTCATTTACGGGTTATAGATTCCTTCAACAACAAATATTGAGCATTTTAAGACAAAAAATTATTGAAAAAATTTGAAAATTTTTTTTATTACCAAAATACTCGAAAATCGCTCGAATGATTTTGTTTTTGTTTTCTTTAATCAAAAACTCAAGAGTTTTCCTTTCGTTTGGTATATGGGAAGTACTGGTGGATATCTTCTAAGTATGTTTATTTTATTCAATGGGCATAAATGATTTCCCATACAAAATCACTTCGTCATCGTTTTGCAAACATGTGCATGCGTTGGAAGTGGGGGAAGGAGACAAAAAGTATGTATGTGTGCGTAAGTACATATTTCGGCTTTTGATAAACAGACGACGCAATATTTATAACCTAATCGCAGCTCCCATAATAATACATAATCTTATCTTATCTTACTAATATTATAAATGTGAAAGTTTGTATGTTTGGATGTTTGGGAAACCATCACGCGGAAACAACTGAACGGATTTGCATGAAATTTGGTACGCAGATAGCTTATGGGGCAGATTGGTTAATAGGCTATTTTTTTAAGAGTTGCCACCTGTTAAAAAAGTTTAGTATTTAATATGCGGGAACAACTGAATGGATTTGCATGAAAATTTGCACACAGGTAGCTTATGACCTAGTTTGGAATATAGGCTACTTTTCTTAAGAGTTGCCACCTGTTAAAAATGTTTCATTAAATTAATACGCGGAAACGACTGAATGGATTTGCATGAAATTTTGCAAGCAGATAGCTTATGGCCTACAGTGGAAAGTAGGCTAATACTTTGGAAGAGTTGCCACCTGTTAAAAAAGTTTAATTAAATTAATACGCGGAAACGACTAAACGGATTAGCATGAAATTTTGCTCACAGATAGCTCATGACCTAGGTTAGAAAGTAGGCTACTTTTTTTAAGAGTTGCCACCTGTTAGAAATGTTTAATTTAATTAATACGCGGAAATGAGTGATCTGATTTGCATGGAAGTTTTCACACGGAGAGCTTATGAGCTAGGTTGAAAAATAGGCTACCTTTTTTAAGAGTTACCACCTGCTAAAAAAGTTTAATTAAATTAATACGCGGAAAAGTTTTTTTTTTTGGGCAGGAACATAGCGACAGGGGATTTTTAAGAACGTTGGGAGAAAAAATTTCGATGAAAAAATATTTTTTTCTCGGGTTCAAAACTATCCTCTCTTTTAAGTTGGAACCAACAATACACACCCACAAAATTTCATTGAAATCGGTTAAGCGGTTTCGGAGATTAGCGTAAACGAACACAGTTACACGGGATTTTTATATATTAAGATTAGAATGGTTTGAAAAAACACTATTTTTGGAAATCCATAAACGCTTAATCAAAATATTGTTGTTTGTGAGAAAAAAAGAGTCACTTATTTTTTTATTTTGGAAAAAAAAATTTTGGAGGCTGTGGTAGTCGGTTTTTTATAAAAACGCCGATGTTTTCAATTTTCTTATTTTCGTAACATGTTATAGGGCAGTTAAAAGTGTTGTTTTTACATGTAATTACTCAGGTATTATTGGGGTATATTCCCTTAATTACATACCTGCCTTGAACAGTTAGAATGGGCCTAATGCCCGAAAATATGCTTTCGAAAAGAGACCGCTAAAATTAATACGTTGATACTGAACGTTTTAAGCACTGTCACGGGTTCAAACTAGTTACCAGCGGGTTTCTGGGGCGCTGATTGCGCATCTGATGTCAGTTTTTCAAAACTCTAAAATGGCGGTACCAATATGGCGATCTTTTTTTTTTCAATAAGTGGATTTATTCGAAACTCGGTTGGTTGGTTGGTTGGTTGGTTGAAGTGGCGAGTTTAACAACTCCAATTAGCACTTATGCGTGCCGTTTTAAAACCACTACTCGCAACTTAAACCTGAAAAGAAAGCCCGAAAAGAAAGCAGCAGAAGTCGGTTATATACCCCAGCCTGTGGAGTTCAAGAACTTAAGAAGTTGCAGTGGTTTAATATCACTTATGTCCGTTAAACCGCAGAAGCAGGGTTTGCCTAGAAGCCTGATTCTAGTCCTACATAGTGCTGGGCAATCGCAGAGCAGATGCTCCACCGTTTCTTCTGCATCTGGTGAATTGCAACTACGACAAGATATGTTGTGTTCCAGTCCTAGTCTTGCAGCATGGATTCCCACGGCCCAGTGGCCTGTGTAAACGGCAGTTAGTCGAGATAGATCCTTCCTGTTTAGTTTGATAAGAAAAGCAGTGCGTTTTGCGCTGTAGGTGGGCCACAGACTCCTGCAGACCCTACAGGATTGTAGGTTTTTCCACCCACTGCTAGCCACATTTTTCCAGTGCTGAGAGATGCGGCTCTTGATATAGCTCAGAGGCACAAGAACCTCCTTTGCCTCTGAGATATCCAGAGCCGACCCATTCCTGGCCAGCTCGTCAGCCATCTCGTTGCCATGAATTCTGCTGTGCCCCGGCACCCAGATCAGTGCAACGACGTGCCTGTCGGCTAAAACCATAACGTTCTCCCTGCACTGTTTTATTATGCTGGAGGTGATGCTTACAGAGCCAAGTGCCTTGATCGCTGCCTGACTATCTGAGAAAATAGCAATGCTGGTTCTCGCTAGCTTCGAGGCTAAAATTATTTTGCACGCCTCATTTATGGCAAAGACCTCTGCCTGAAAAACACTGGCCGAATTAGGTAATCAAATAGACTCTTCAATTTGGAGGTCGGTTGAAAAAATTCCCGCCCCTTCCCCACAATCCATTTTTGAACCGTCCGTAAAAATGGATACTTCGAAGCGTTCAGTAAAAATAGGATCCTTCCACCCCTTTCTTGATGGAAAAATCGTGCCGAAGTTTCTCTTGAAGAAAGCGAAGGGCAAATGTAGTCAGTTTTTTCGCGAATGCTTGGGTCGTTGAAAGAATACAGGATAAGTCCATGCCCGTACGTACGTTCTTTCCACAATCCAAGTTCCCTCAACCTGAGCGCACTCTGTGATAAAAAGATCAATCGGTGGCAGATGACAGATGACATTCAATGCTTACGTTGGACATGATCTGATCGCCCCAGTAGTCGCAATGCAGGCTGACCTTTGTACCCTGCCTAACATTGTGCGTATGTAGTTCATCTCTACGGCTTTCCACCAAACCAGCGAACCGTATGCAATAATTGGGCGAATCACCGCCTTGTACATCCATAGCATAAGATCAGGTCGTAGGCCCCACCTCTTACCCAGAATTTTCTTGCAGGAATACAGAGCACCATAGGCCTTTTTTACTCGGTGCTCTGTATTCATTTTCCAGTTTAATTTCGGTGTGAGAATGACTCCCAAATACTTAGCGTAAGGGGAAAGAGAGAGAGTAAGCCCGTTCAAGGAAGGTAGGTTAAAATAAGGAATCTTTTTTCTTATAGTGAATAATAGTAATTCGGTCTTCGAGGGATTAACGTTGAGCCCGCAGCCATTTGCCCAAGAACCCAATTCCCCCAGTGCTCTTTGAAGCATTTCGCTTATCACATTTATGCACAATCCGGATACCATAATCAATACATCGTCTGCATACGCAACAACTTTGACCCCTTCCCTGTTGAGTCTTAGAAGAATGTTGTTTAGTACGCAAAGCCACAGCAGCGGCGACAGTACCCCGCCTTGCGGAGTCCCCGCTTTGGATGACTGATGACTACGCTGGTGCCTAGCTTAGCGTTTACAATCCTTGTACGAAGCATGGTAGATATCCAGTTTACCAGGAAGTTCTCAATCCCCAGGTTTCTGAGTGATTGCTCTATCGCCTCCAGACTAACGTTGTTGAACGCCCCTTCTATGTCAAGGAAGGCCGCCAACGTATATTGTTTATTTTCCAGCGATGATTCTACCGTTTGTATGACCTCATGGAGCGCAGATTCTGTGGAGCGCCCTTTTAGGTAAGCATGCTGTGCAGTAGACAATTCTCCATTGCCTAGTTTCGAACGAATGTGCATGTCCAGTAGCCGCTCGAAAGTTTTCAGTACAAAAGACGAGAGACTGATGGGTCTGAAGTCCTTAGGCACCGTGTGTCCTCTCTTGCCTGCCTTGGGAATGAAAACTACTTTAACACTTTGCCAAGTAGACGGAACATGGTTGAGCATTATGCATGCTTTGAAAACGCTCTCCAGCCATGAAATAGCCCACGGCTGGGCTTCCTGTAGCATTGCTGGAAAGATCCCGTCCGGACCCGGGGATTTGTACGGAGAGAAGCTGTTAATTGCCCATGCAATCTTCTCCCGCGTGATAATTTCGTTAACGACATTAATGGATGGTGCCGCTACGTTGCTATCTACACCTGAGACCTGATTTAGGTCACAGCCTGGAAAATGGGTACGAAGAAGGAGTTCTAATGTCTCCTTAGAGCTATTGGTCCATCCTCCATCTTCCTTTTTTAGGAAGGAAGGATTGCTGTGTTCCTTGGATAGGATCCTCCCAATTCTGGCGGATTCTTTCGTTGATTCTCTAGAAGAGCAGAAATCCCTCCAGGATTCCTGTTTTGCTTTGCGAAATGCCTTTTTGTAAATTCTCAAGCTATCTCTATAGGTCTGCCGGTTGCCCATGGAATAGCTTAAGTTGAAGGCTTTGCGAGAAACTCGGTACTCGGTAGTTTTTGGGGTCGCTGATTACAAATCTAAAGTAAATTTTTTTAAATTCAAAATGGCGGATCCAATATGGCGATCAATTTCTTAAATATGACTAAAACTAAAACGTTGAAACTGATCATTTTAAGCATTATTATGGGTTAAAACTCGTTACCAGAGGGTATGGGGTCGGTGTTTACGAATCTGATGCCAGATTTTCAAAATTTAAAGTGACGGAACTAATATAGCGATCAGATAAAAAAAAATATTGGATTTGGATCCGACATTTTGAATGTTGAAAATCTGCAGACATCAGATTTGTACACAGAAACCCACTGGCAACAAGCCTCAACCCATGACAATGCTTAAAACTTTCAGTATCAGCGCTTTAATTTAAGTATTTTTTTAAGAATTTTATAGCAAAATGGGATCCGTCATTTTGAATTTTAAAAATTATTTCAGATTCGTAATCAGCGACCTTAAAAATTCCCGAGTTCCAAGTTTCGAAGCAATCCAGCATTTTTTTTTCATTGATCGCCATTTTGGATCCGCCAATTTTAATTTTGAAAAACTGATCTCAGGTGCGTAATCAGCGACGCCAGAAATCCCCTGGTAACGAGTTTGAACCCATCGTAATGCTTAAAACGTTCAGTATCGACGTTTTAATATAGCGGTCTCTTCTCGAAAGCATATTTTCGGGAACTAGGCCCGACTAACTAAAACTGACTAGCGCAACCTCCAAAAAAAAAAAATTCTTTTTTTTTTCAAAATAAAAAGTACCTTTCTTTTTTTATCCGGCCCAGTATCCTCCCTGAAGTCGAACCCATTAGAAGAATGGGAAGAGCTGAAAACTGCCTTTCCTTTGTTGTTCTGTTCCTTGCGAACGATTGTTCAACACGTCAAGAAATCGGTTGACTGGCAAACATTTGGAAAAACTTCTATTCTTAGGAAGTGCAACAGAAGAAGGATTTTTCCTTGAAATATTTTATTGATAAATGTTTTCTTAAATAAGATTAACTTGTAATATTTTCCAAACTATATATATCTGTGTAAATACCAGTCATCATTAAACATGTCGTCGGTGTTTTGTGCAAAACCGCCCATCGACCAATTGCAAAACCGCCTATATTACGGCACTAAAATTTTACAGGAGAGCGATAAAACGGATTTTCATTGAAGGTATTGCCTTGATAGGCGCTATTTTCTCTAGCTATTATTTTCCAAATTTATTGTTTTAATAACGATTTTTATGCATAAAACTTGATGCTGGAATTCATGGTTACCAAATCTCATTTTTGCCACAACGGCGATTTAGGCGGTTTTGCAACTGGTCGATGGGCGGTTTTGCAAAAACAGCAACGATATAGTTCTGCTATGTAACAGAGTTTTATTTATTTTCAGTTCCTACATTACTAAATTTTAGTATTCATTATTTGATTTCATAAAATAAGTTTAACTTAATACGAAATACACAATGAGTACCGATACGAGTAGGTATCAATACTTTAGGTCCGATATTTTTCAGGCATCGATACATTTTTCGATACTACTTCCAAGTAAAAGTATCGATAACTGCATGTTATCGTTTCAGCCATACCCATAATGCACTATACTACATATAATAATTATACTAACATCCTTTATTTGAGTTTATGCCATAACGGAAATTTTAAAAAATTTAAATATTGGAGGATTCTTATCTTACTATCTTACTAATCTTATCTTACTAATATTATAAATGTGAAAGTTTGTATGTTTGGATGTTTGGGAAATCATCACGCGGAAACGACTGAACGGATTTGCATGAAATTTGGTACGCAGATAGCTTATGGGGCAGATTGGTTAATAGGCTATTTTTTTAAGAGTTGCCACCTGTTAAAAAAGTTTAATTTATTTAATATGTGGGAACGACTGAATGGATTTGCATGAAAATTTGCACACAGGTAGCTTATGACCTAGGTTGGAAAATAGGCTACTTTTCTTAAGAGTTACCACCTGTTAAAAAAGTTTCATTAAATTAATACGCGGAAACGACTGAATGGATTTGCATGAAATTTTGCAAGCAGATAGCTTATGACCTACAGTGGAAAATAGGGTAATTTTTTGAAAGAGTTGCCACCTGTTAAAAAAGTTTTAATTAGATTAATACGCGGAAACGACTGAACAGATTTGCGTGGCATTTCGCACAGAGATAGCTTATCCAACATAGGTCATAAGGCAACTATTTTAAGAGTTATCACGTATTAGGAAAGTTTAATTAAATTAATACGCGGAAATGACTGAACTGATTTGCACGAAAGTTGGCACACAGATAGCTTATGACATAGACTGGAAAATAGGCTACTTTTTTAAGAATTGCCATCTGAAAATGAAGTTTTGCTCAAAGATGGTTTATGACCTGGACTGAAAAATAGGCTACTTCCTTAACCGGGTTTCCGATCAGAACGAAATTTAGTACACTTTCTACGGATTTCGGAAGGATGGTCTTAGACTGAAAGTAAGTCCGATAAATCAAGGCCCCTCCCATACAAATTGGAATTTTCATATTACATACGTATCTCTGGAAGTATTTGTGGGAGAGAACTGAAACTTGGTATAGTGATATGTATGTGAAATCAATGTTGCCATTAATCGATTGAAGTTTTAATCAGTTAATTAATTCGATTAAATTCAATCTGATTACAGTTAATCATGATTAATTTTAATCTGACTAAGCAGTTAATCGTAATCGCGATTAAAAAATTAATTTTTAATCAATAACTCTTAATTTGATCAAGTAGGTTTGGTGATTAATTAAGTTATGCTGGAATTTCCCTGTGCACACAAAGCAAGTTAATCCGGTATGGCTAAGTCGGGTTTCCTCATCAAACTAAGCAATTTGGTGTGCATTTTCATTAAGGTATATACCAACAAACGTTTTACAAACTAGGTTTGTAAAAGTTCCCAGTTTATGTATTACTAACAACAATAATTATATTTTTTTTATATTATGTGCTTTTTATAAGCGTAAAACACAAAATAATTACTATAACTGGTTTTTGGTTTCAGACCTTGACAAACTAGACAAATTAATCAGATTTTATTTTTAATTGGATTAACGATTAATGTTGTATATTATTTAAACGTAATCGCAGCCACCGATTAACGATTAAAAAAATGTTATCATTAATCGTACAGTTGATTACGACTAATTAATTTTAATCGTCAAATGCGATTAACATTTTAGTCGTTAACTTTTAATCGTTAATCAGATTAACAGTTTGCCAACACTGTGTGAAATCATGTTCATATTCACGGAGAAAAATGGACGTTTTTGGAAAAGAGGCGTAGCACCTCCCATACTGACTGAAAGTTTCATATTGTATATCTCTTCAAATGTTTGGGGTAAAGCACTCAAGCTGGGTATGGAAATACATATGTATCCATGTATGTATGTGAAACTAATACCATACTCATGGAGAAAAATGAGAGTTATTGGAAAATGTGGTGTGGCAACTCCCATGCAAATTGATTTTTCTATGCTGGATATCTCTGGAGGTGTTTATTGCATACATACTCATGGAGAAGAATTTGCGTTATTCGAAAAGGAGACATG